CCCCAAAACCCCAAAACCCCAAAACCCCACAGCCTGATCTCTCTACTGAATCATTAATACTCAAAATCTACACACAATTACCCAATAAAAATCACCTTTTTCCAATTCCTATGTCCAACTATCCATCTACTACTGTCACATCTAAACTCTGAACAACAAACTGTACCGCCTACACATTAACACAAAACCTTACATCCAAATACAAGCTTAATGTGGCTGAAAGCTTGTTCTATCTGCTGTTTCTCTGACTTCTTCATGGTCACGTAGATGAGTGCGAGTTTGGAGGTGATGTTGGACTTGAGCTTGAGGATGTGGGGCAGGTAAGGAGTTATGGGTTTAGAGCTTGGGTCGAAGAGGATGAAAAGAGTGCGGAGTTTGGGAGGGATGCAGGTGGAGAGGAAGTGGATGTTGTCAGCTGTAGATAGGTGAGTGATGGAAGGTGAGTTGAAGAAGAGAAGGAAAAATATACATCAGAATGTCCAACCCTTCAAAACTCAATCAAACGCTTACCTTCGCTGGTTTTGTTAATATTCATCAATTCCAATTGATCTAAATGGCTGAGCATTTGCTTGTCCACTAATGCAAGCACCGCCTTGTGCGTTTTATTGCTCATATCAAACTTAATGCTTTTTCTGGTCGGAAGTTTGTCTAAGAATTCAACCTCTTCCTTGGTCAGCTATGTTGGTTAACCAAGCTTCAAGCTTTCTTACGTTAATTCCATTCTTTCTTGCTAACTTGTTGAGGGTTGTAAACTAGATTTTAAAATGGACCTTACTGAGGTCTGGCTTTGAGATATGACTTCTTTGGTCATGCTTTGAGTCTTTTGGATTTCATCAATGGATTTTAGAAAGTCTTCGTTTGTGATTTGACTTTCTGTATAAAATAATGCTTGATATCAAGAACTGGGAGAAAACAATATTATTGATTTTGTAATAAGGTTAATACCTTTGAGCGACTTCAATAAATTTTTATTTTCTTTCTGGTTTTGATTCTGGATAACTTTGAAAAATTCAATGTCCATCCAGACATTTTCTATACTCTCAGAGAGAGCTTGCTGTAAATTTAGACAAGTATTTTGGAGATGCTTGAAAGAGTGTTCAATTTTGTCTTCAGTTTGGGAATGAGATGTCTTTAGTTGCTCCATGCTTGTTTCTATGTGTACAAGTTAGAAGGGAGAAGTAGTGAGATTAATAATGTGCATTTTTGGGAAATATGGTATGTAAATTAGGAAACATACGCGAATTAGTAGCTACTTCTTTCATGTCTTGGAAGTTGCTTCTGAGATCTTCAATTTGACTAGCTTGTGCTTTGTTTTTGCTTTGAGATTTGGCAAGCTCTTTTTCTAGTTTAGTATTGTCATCTTTGAGGCAATCTATTTGAGCACTCTGATGCTCAAGCTCTTTCAAGTTTTCTTTGGCAACTTCAAGTTCCCTTGTAAGACCACTCTTCTCAATAATAATAGAAGTATTTTGGGTTATTAGCTCATTATTTTGAATTCTAAGCTCATTATCTTGGGTTTTGAACTCTTTATTTTGAGCTTTGAGTTCATTATTTTGAGTTCTGAGTTCATTATTTTGAGTTCTAAGTTCTTCATTTTGGCTTCTAAGTTCATTATTTTGAGTTATAAGCTCGCCATTATGACTTCTGAGCTCATCATTTTGAGCTCTGAGCTCATCATTTTGAGTTCTGAGCTCGTCATTTTGGGCTCTTAATTCACCATTTTGAGTTCTGAAGTCACCAACTTTAGCTTTAAGCTCATCAATTTTCTTATTAAAATTCGTCTCTATTTTAATTTTCCCGTTTCTCAAATCACGGCAGGTTTTCTTCAAAGCTGCATTCTCACTAAGAGCGATCCTTCCATTCACCACTCCGATTGAGTGAAGTCTGATGTCCTCTTTGTGCAAATATCTAAATATTAGATTCCAAATGTACTTGAGCATTTCCATTAAGATCTCGCTATTTTCCCACTCTTGCTTCAGTGAATCTAAAATGTAAAGAAGATCAAATTTTAACTCTAAAGACAAACTTACCGATCTTTACTTTGGCTTCTGATAACTTAGGCCAGTTCTTTCCTCTTATGAGCTCCTGAAGATCTTCTTCACATTGGTTTACTCTCTTTCTTAATTTTACCAATGTTTCGAGCTGATAGTTCCATTTATGGCTGAGAGTTTTGTCATAACCAATAGTTGACTCTACTGATTTGATACTCAAATTGACTATATGGAAAACTGGTGAGTCTCCATCAGAATAACTTTTTATTTATCTAAAATTTAAACACTTCGAAAAAAAGAATAGGTGAACCCCCAAATATGAACAAGCGCTTATGACTCATGCATAGCATAGTCTATCTCCCTCTCTTCTTATCTCGAAGTCCCTCAGAAGTCAAGGCTTGAGTTTCAGCATACCTAGCTCGAGAGCATGCTCGCATTCCCTGGGATCTACGAGTGTTATCACATTGTCTTCATTGTGGATAGAGTTCGAACAGAACCCGCACACATATCTTTCACTGTAAGTAACATAACGTGTTGCCTTTTTGTTGCAGTGAGGCAGGTAGCAAATTAGAGCTTCAAATCTCTTCATTTTTATTTAATTATTCGCAAGTTCTTGGCATTTATACTGTCCCGGGGTTTTGGGGTTTTGGGGTTTTGGGGTTTTGGGG